TGCTCCTCTCAATCAAACACATTAAAGAGGTGAAGTACCCGACGTGGCTGGCCAACGTCGTCCTCACCCAGAAACCGCCAACATTCAGGATGTGTGTTGATTACACTGACCTGAACAAGGCGTGCCCCATGGACCCGTTCCCTCTCCCCAACATTGATCAACTGGTGGACGAGACGGCGGGGTGCGAGTTGATGTCGTTCCTTGACGCTTTCAGAGGCTACCACCAGATCTCCATGCATGAAGACGACGCGGAGAAGACGGCATTCATGACCCCAGAGGGAATCTTTTGCTACCTCGTCATGGCCTTCGGACTAAAAAACTCCGGCGCCACCTACACTAGGATGGTGGCCAAGATCTCAGAGCGGTCCTTGGCCGGACGATGGAGGCATACGTCGACGACATGATCGTCAAGAGCAGGCAGGCCTCCTCCCACGCCGACGACCTCCGGGAAATATTTGAAATCATGAAGGAGTTCAGGCTCCGCCTGAACCCCAATAAGTGCGCCTTCGGCGTCCAGGGCGGCAAGTTCCTCGGCTACATGGTCAGCCGGAGAGGCATCGAGATAAACCCGGAGAAGAAGCAGGCTATCATCAACATGGAGCCGCCCCGTAACGTCAAGGAAGTACAACGACTGACGGGGCGCCTGGCGGCCCTGAACCGGTTCCTCTCCAGGTCAGCCGAGAGGGCACTCCCCTTCTTTCAGATCATGCGTAAAGCCAACAGCTTCAAGTGGACGACGGAGTGCCAGGAAGCGTTCGAAGAGTTGAAGAGGTACCTATCGTCCCCGCCCGTGCTCTCCAAGCCCAATGCCGGCGAAACCCTCTTCTTGTACTTAGGGGTGAGCACGTCGGCCGTCAGCTCCGTGCTCATCCGTGAGGACGAAGGGGTGCAAAAGGCCATCTTCTACATCAGCAAGACACTCAGGGAGGCCGAGCTCAGGTACTCCCCCATTGAGAAGACGGTGCTGGCCATCGTCCATACGGTGAAGAAGCTGGGACACTACTTCCAGGCCCACGCCGTCCATGTACTGACCCAGCAGCCTCTCGGCGCACTCATAAGGAGCCCCACCAGCTCCTCTAGGATGGTGAAATGGGCAATTTTCCTCAGCCAATTTCAAATTGAGATCAAGCCAAGGCCATCTATCAAAGGGAAAGCCTTGGCCGACTTTGTCACTGAATGCACAGCAAGGGAGACGGTCGTCGCCAACCCCGGGCCGGAGCCGGATGATACATGGATCCTATTCACTGACAGGTCGTCGGCCGCAAAATCATGCGGTGGCGGCGTCGTCCTCATATCCCCTGAAGGATTCAGAGCTTACTATGCCATCCGCTTCAACTTCAGGGTATCCAACAACAAAGCCGAGTATGAGGCCCTCCTCAGCGGTCTCAGACTCGCCGCCGGCCTCAAGGCCAAGCACCTCAAAATCAAGTGCGACTCCAAACTGGTAGTGGGCCAGGTGGAGGGATCGTACGAAGCAAAGGAAGGCCGGATGAAGCAGTACAAACAAGCGGCGGAGGAGCTGCTGAAGGCGTTCGAAACCCACGAGATCACACAGATCCCAAGGGCCGAGAACGCCGAGGCCGACATCCTCTCCAAACTCAGCCCGGACACCCCGGAGCACATCTCCCAGCTGGCCAAGATCGAGGAGTTGAGCATGTCCAACATCCATGCCAGCCCCGTCTTGTGCGTCCAACAGCGACCAGAGGACTGGATTTCCGACATCGTCACCTTCATCACAACGGGGGAGCTGCCCCCGGACGAGGAGAGGGCCAAACTTGCCAAACTCAGGGCCCCAAGCTACACCATCAAAGATGGCAAACTCTACAAACGGTCCTATAATGGCACTCTCCTCCGATGCCTGCACCAGGACGAGGCCGACATGGCCATGGAAGAAGTTCATTATGGCGTCTGCTCCTCGCACCAGGGCCCTTTCAGCATGTCCCGACGTCTCGTCGTCCAGGGCTTCTTCTGGCCGACGATGGCGCGAGACTGCGCGGATCTGGCCAAGAAGTGTACCACGTGCCAGGTGCTCCAGAAGGCCCCTGGTCGGCCAGCCGTCAACTACGTCCCCGTCAGCACCGCAATTCCATTCTCTAGATGGGGGATTGACCTGGTCGGCCCCCTGCCCAGAGCCGCCGGGAATAACCGCTACATCATCGTCGCCGTCGACTACTTCACCAAGTGGGTCGAGGCGGAACCCCTAGCCAGCATCACGGGGGCCAGATGCCAAAAATTTGTTTACAAAAACATCATCACACGCTTCGGCGTCCCCCAGGAGATTATATCAGACAACGGCACCCAATTCGAGGCAGCCCCTTTCCAGGAGCTCCTCCGGGAGTTCGGGGTGAAGCATCGTTTCTCCTCCGTTGCCTACCCTCAGGGCAACGGGCAGGTCAAGAACGCCAACAGAACAATCATGGAGGGACTGAAGAAGAAACTCCAGGCCGCAGGAGGTAGTTGGGTCGACGAGCTCCCCAACATCCTGTGGTGCTACAGAACCACGCCAAGGAGGGCGACAGGTGAAATGCCTTTCGCCCTGTGCTACGGCTTTGAGGCAAAGGCGCCCACGGAAGTTGCCATCCCCAGCCGACGGGTGGAACAATACGAGCCTGACGCCAACGAAGAGAACATGAAGATTGACCTACACCTGGTCGATGAGAGGCGTGAGCAAGCTTACGTCCGAGCAGAGAACTACCGGCGTCAAGTAAAATCATACTATGACGCCAAGGTACGTTCCCGGGAATTTCAGGTGGGGGACTACGTCCTCCGCCGAAGGGAAGCAAGCCAGTCGACAGAGGGTGGCAAGCTAGCATTGAAGTACGAAGGGCCCTACATCGTCAGTGCCGTGGTCAAACCCGGCACCTACAAGCTTAAACGCCCGAATGGGTCCAATGTACCACGAACGTGGAATGTACACCATTTGGTGAAGTTTTATCAGTAATCCGAAGGAGGTGCAGTCGGCGAAGCCCTCACCCCTTAACGGGTTACTGATTGAACGCCACCCTCGGCCTCGAGCAACTTATGAATAAAATCATGTTCCTCTTGATTTTTTCTCTGGAATTTAAAGTAAAAACATTAGCAGGTGCCCTCATCGGCCACCTTAGAGCGAAAGGCTCAGGCACGGCCGACGGGGCCCCTTGCATTTGCAGCCTACGATCGACAAGATCAGGCGTTCCATTGTATTTTGTATCAGCGAAGGGCTCAGGCCTAGCTGAGAGAGCACATCGTCCTGGCCCCGTAAGCCTAGAAGTGAAACGCTCAGGTATGGCCGACGATGTCCCCAGGACGAGGGGCCCGCAAACGGCCCACGTCTTGAAACGGGAAGCTCACCGCGTCGTCCACGCGCCAGATCGCAGGACGACAGGCCTGAAATCATGGCCGAGGTGACAAAATCCCAAAACTCGGGGATGGGCAACGACAGCCGTTGGAAACCGACCAAAAGTCTAGCCCGCGTCATAAATAGGCGACGGGACCCGCCCTGAGATCACGGACGTTATAAACGAAGTCCGAACCGGCCGAAGGACGAGCACACCCTTCGGCCGAAGCCTGAAAGAAGGATACTCCCCGAAAATGGGGACGGAAAAAAAAATATGAAGGGAAAAGAGGGAAGCCGACGGCCGTGCGCACTAGCCGGCCTCGAGCCATGAAAAAATAAAATCCCCACAATTCAGGCCCAACTAGGCCAAGTACATATCAGTTGAACACAAGTGTAGTACCACTAACAGGTGACATGGATGATACGTCCACACACCACAAGGGAATGGTCAAGGCCGAAGCATACGCCTATAAAACCCTAACTGAATCGGTTGGGTGACACGCGAGAGATAACCTTCATCGGCCACAGCCCCATGAAGCACCAACGCTTGGTATGAAATGAAGAATCACAATCCTGAGGATGACCAGGACGAAGCGGGCACTTATCACACCCGCGGAAGAATCAAGCAATCAAGAAACAATCCCTACTGGCCACAGCATCCCGGATGGCCGATACAGGCACTGAAACCCAGGTTGTTGGTCAGGCGAAAGTTCTTCGGGGATTTGTCCAAGTGTTTACCAAACACTTAGAGAAAATTCTGAGGGAAAAGGTTCCTCAAGGAGGAACTATGTCTTAGCCGATGAAGGTAGGGCCATCTCTTTGGTAAAGCAAGGGACACCCTCATCGGCCACAAGCCAGACCTTGGCCGATGAAGGTATGGCCAGCTCTTAGCCGGCAGCGGTACCGCAAAGTACTTAAATGGAGAAACTCTAGACGAAGCGGGTACCTGTATACTCGAAGGCCGTTAGCTACCTACGCCTTGCATGTGTACTTAGAAAAAATTCTAAGTTCAAAAAAGTAAGTTCAAGGTGCCCTTATCGGCCACAACACAAGGATGCAGGACGACCTTCCTGATCAGATCAGGAACGAGGGGACACGACGGCCATGAAAAACACTGGGCCGACAACGTCATTGGTTCAACATTTGGGAAATCTCCCAAATCATTTGTCAATAATGAGGAGAGATTCAATACCAGGACGATGAGAACACCCCTCCACTTGAAGTTAAACACTTAGAAAAATTCTAACAAAAAAGAAGAATGGGACAACGCTAGGACGGAGCGGACACCACGGTCAGGGACGGAAAGGAAAGCACTTAAGTGGACCCAAAACACTTAGGAAATTTATGAATAAATTCTAAGTGTTACGACAGCAAAGAAACACCGAACAGGCCGACCAAGCCACCAGACCGGAAAGAAAGCAACTAAGTGGACCCAAAACACTTAGGAAATTTTTGAATAAATCCTAAGTGTTATGATAGTAAAGAAACGACGGCCAGGCCGACTAGGCCATCGGACAGGATGGACTACCTCACGGACGTAGCAGACACTCGCGGGTGACCAAAGTTGTAACTTTTACACTTAGACAAATTTCAGAATTGAAATGGCAAAGGGCAATAAACATGCAAGAAATTCAAAGCCGACCAGGACAGCAAAATTTTCATTCATACGCAATTCAGTACAATGGGGGGCGCTTCGGCCATTACATCAATTGAAAAAAAAAACTAATTACAAGGGAGCAGGGAGTAGCCGATCAAGCCCCTTGGGCGCCTCCATCCTCGGCTGGCTCTTCGACGTCTTCGGCTCCCTCCTCGGCCTCAGTCTCCTGGCCAGAGGCAGCCGCAGAACTGGTGGCATCGTCCAGGAAGTCAAACTCCGTGTAATCCGGCTCACCGAGGCCGGAACTCTCGATGGGGGACTCCCGCTCCGACAAAGGAAACTTGGCCTGCTCTTCGGGATCTTTCATCAGCTTGGGAAGCTTCAAGTTCCGTCTAGCCCACCCGGAAGTATAATTCATGGCCTTAAGAGCACGAGACAGCCGCCGACACAGGAGCCTCTGCATCCGCTCCTGGCCCATGTTATAGTACACGGCCATCTCCCTGCTAAAATACTCCTGGCCGGCGGGGGAGTTCATCCCCCAATGTTCAAGCCTGGCGGCCACCACCTCATAGCACCAGGAGAGCCGCTCATCGGCCTTCCACCCCTCGGCCAGGAACTGCTTAACGGCCTCATCAGCGGCCTTCACGGCGGCAGCCTCGGCCTCAGCTTTTGCCTTCACGGCTTCATCGTTTTTGCGCCGCTCGGCCTCAAGCACCCTTTGGCTCTCCTCGAGTTTGGCCAGGGCATCGTCCCTGGCTGCAGCGGCCTCGTCGTCCCTCTGTTGCAAGGCCTTGGCATCCTCCCGGAGCCGATCCAAGCAAGCTACCGCCTCATCGGCCGAGGCAGCTTTCTACTCAAGCTCTTTCAGACGAGCTATCTCCCGGTACTGCCTCTTGTGGCTCTCCATGAGCATGAAGGCACCCTGCATAAAAAAGGCAAACAAAACTCAGGCAAATGATTCCACCCGGACGACGAGAAAAACGACAAACAAAAGGAGGGGAACTTACTTGGACGAGGAGGTCCATCCCGCCCTCGTACACCTTCACGTCCCCGAGCCTCTTCAGGTAGGCCCTATCTTTGGCCGGCATGGCCTGGGCCAGCACATCGTGGCCGAGGACGACGTCATCAAAAACACCCCCGCCGACGGGGTATTCCACCATCTTCTGGTAGGTGGCAGCGGCAATCTACTTGCCGGCCCTCTTCGTCTGTGGCTCCTGGACGAGAGGAAGCGATTGGGCAGCATCGCTTGGAGCAGCAGTAAGGTCCACAACGGGACCACTATCGTCCACACTTGGGACGGTAAGAGTACCGGCCTCAGTAGCAGGGGAAGGAGACGGGGCCCTCTTCGTCTTCTTGGTGACGTTCAGGCCGGCCTCAGTCAATTTCTTCTGGCCGTCAGTGGGAGGCCTCTTTTTCTTGGACTGGGCAGGCTTTGGGGCCGCACCAGCAGTAGCCCCGCCTCCCTCGGCCGCGGCACGTCTGGCCGCCTCGGCCGCCTTTGCAGCCAACTCCTCGGCCGCTTTGGCCTTGGCTATAGCCATGATGGAACGACGATCCATGACAAAATCTACACAAAGGAAAAACAACAGATTAGCAAGGCAAAAGAACAAATCATAAAGGAAGAAAGCCAAAGAAATTATTACCATCGGCCTCAGCAGGAATGCCCAAATCCGGGCCGTCGGCCTCTTCGAAGGTGGTGGTCATCCTCGGCCAGAGTTGGATATCGTCCTCCTTATCGCCATACACATGGTATCTTAAGAAGCTGAGGGCGGTCATCTTGTATTCAGTGATATAATCCTTCACGCTCCTCGGCCCCCCTTCCAAGAAAGCCTCCACCTGAGCGTCCAAGATAGAACTCTTCGGCGGGTCATGCAGATTGAACCTCCCGGTATGGCCGAGAGAGGGAAACTCGGTGCCACTCTCACCAAGGGATACAAAAACGAACTTGCTCTTCCACCCATGAATGGACGAAGGCAAGTCCGTGAAGCTCCTCTTCTTCGGCAGCTGTTGGAGAGTAGCATAGGCCGCACAATTTTTGTGGCTTCCTCGGCCTATCTGATACAGATTCATGAACAGAGCCGTCGTCGGCCTGTAGCCCAGCTCCTCACAGCGGAGCAAAAACCCCACCATCAATGAATAGCTGTTCGGCGTCAACAAGGCCGGAGGGAGCCCCACCATGTCAAGGTATTCAGTGATGAAGGGGTGAAGGGGAAACCTCAGCCCCTTGGCAAAACTCATCGGGTATACTCCAAAGTATCCCAGTGGCGGATGAAGAACATGGTCCGTCGGCCTGGGTGCCCTAACCCGCCCGAACGGCCCCACGTACATCTAGGCAACCAAGTAGTCGGCCGCGCTGCTCTCCGGCTTGATCAGGAAGATGTTTGTGAGATCCAGGTAGGAAACGCCCGGCCCACTCTTCGGCCTCCTTATTCTCTTCGGCTTATCTGCTCCCTTCACGGCAGACACCGGTCTCGAGCATGGAATAACAGCGGAAGTGGACGCCCCGTCCACCACTTGGGACGCACCTGCGTCCTCACCTTTTGAAGACGAGGCGGACTCCTCGTCCTCGACTTCGTCGTCCACCGGCTCTCCGGACTTGTAAGGACTTAAGTGTTGTATCTCCTCCTCGAACTCCTCGAGCACCTCATAGTCGAGTGACCTAGTAGAGGGCTGGTCGTCGTACAGATAGTAGTCTTCGTTCAAGCTCTTCATCATAACAACTACTACGAGCCTAAGGGGAATACCTTAGGATCTAAGGGTGTTCAAGCGCCTAACACTAGATCACTAGCCTAGGAAGCAAAGTATGCAAAGTACAGAAGATTGTGATGAACACTAACCTTGAACACGAAGAACACGAAGAACGAGCTTGGGAGTTTATCTCTCTAGAAATTTGGCCAGCACTTCGACAACTCAGAATGCAAATAAGGTTTCTTGTCGGAAGGGGAGGGGTATTTATAGAACCCCCCACCCAACGGTCACTACACGTGGCACCCTCCCAATGGCCACATCAACGGCCACCAATGGGAGGCCACCACGTCACCAACGGGCCAAGCCCAACCTACATGTCAAGAGCCCACTGGCAAAACAGACTCTACGGCCTATACGCTTGCCGGCTTCACAAGTGCCAGCAAGCGCCCACAACGGCCTATTTTGCTTGCCAAGTTCACAAATGCCAACAATAGGGATATGACAACGGCCAGGAACGAAATGAACGCCCGTAACGGCCACAGAACCAAAGGAACAAAGAACCCACAGCCATCGGCTCCTCGTAACGACCCTTGATGATAACTCTTTACAAGCGATCTGCGCACAAGGGTTCTCCCACAGGGTTACCTTGGCAAGAAAATCGCCATGAGGGTTGGATTCAGGGGCACTATGGAGAGGCCGCTTCGGCCAGAGACTCAAGCAACTCCTTCACCCCTCACACTCTTCGGCCTGAAGCAGTGGGGGACTGGGGGACTACACCGGCCTCAACAAAACAAAAAAGAACAATGCAAAGAACATGAATGTAACCACAAAGCATGGCCACATCGTCCATGCATCACAACGGCGCCTCATCGGCCAGAGGCACATAACATCATCAACAACGGCCAACAGGCCACCTAAGGCAAGGACATTCATCATCCCCTGCCAACAGTTTACCATAAGGGGCTCTTCGGCCAAGAACACGAAAGCCAATCAGCGACGGCCAAAAGGAGTGCGCAAACACCCTCATCGGCCACCCAAAGGAAAGGACGCCATCGTCCTCGAAACAAGGTTCAACCTCAATGGCCTCGTCAGCCCAAATGTAAACTTCAACTATCAACGTCCAAGAAAGGGAAAGCGCGCCTTCAACGGCCACCATTGAAGTAGGACACTCATCGTCCCCAAACGAACACATCATTGAAACAACGGCCTCCCCGCCCACAGCGAGGAGCAGGTAACGGCCAAAGCACAGAACAGGATCACCAAAGTGGAAACAACGCCAACGCCGCAACAGCTAACGGCCTGGGAATGCCCGCATTGGCCAAAAGCACTAAAGCACGGGAATCTACTCTCCTTCACTTCGTCTACGTCTCAGCTTAGAGAGTGGGGGACTCCTGATGGAGTATATGGGTCTGAGCCCCTGGACCCACATACTCGGAAGAACAGAAAGCACAAGACACCGAGTGGCGCCCACGTCGGCCAAGGGACCCCCGTCGGCCGAGAAGGTGCCAACTCAGATTATGGTCCTGAGCCCAAGGGACCCGGGTGCCCTCGTCGGCCGTGCCCTCGTCGCCACGCCCTCGTCGGCCACGAAGACCTCACAGAACCGGATTTTATACTTACTCATTCGTACAGCCCATTAGTGGCTTTGTATTCGGCCCAGTAGCGGTCCAGTTGTAAATGGGCCTCCCAAGCCCAAGGCTTGGGAGCCCAGCCCGTATTTTCTCTATAAATACTCCCCTTGGGAGTAGTTATAGGGGTTACAAAATCATTCTATTGAAGCATATTATTGCACTTCTCTCTCTCTCTAGCTCTCACTTCTCTCTAGATATACTCTATCAATAATATGTTTGGTACTTAGCCACACGTGACAAACACGGGCACGCAGGCCCCCAACTATTTTAAGGAAAACATTGTTCAAAAATCCATGAGCAGTTTATAAATTTCAAATACGAATGGAAGCACGAACCACGTCTTCCTTCTTGATCATTCACCCTAGGCAAAGGTGCAGGTAGTAGGACTCTAGCCTTAACCTGAAAAATGTGAGGGGCCCCGGAGGGGTCAGTACTCCATAGAAGTACTAGTGACAAGCAGACTATATGAAGAATAACTAATGTTTCAGACACGAGACCCAAAAATAGGGTGATACACACACACACACACACACACACACACACACACATATATATATATATATATATATATATGTATGTATGTATGTATGTATGTATGTATGTATGTATGTATGTATGTATGTATGTATGTATGTATGTATGTATGTATGTATGTATGTATGTATGTATGTATGTATGTATGTATGTATGTATGTATGTATGTATGTATGTATGTATGTATGTATGTATGTATGTGACTCATCCACCCGATGATACATACTGTATATATATTTGTAAAATACTCAACCCGTAGGTCATTTCATTTAAAGAGACTTTTAGAGATATAGTTCTTACCTGACTTTTCTCACTCCTTTCCCGGTTGCCTAGCTCACAAGCTATAGTCTACCTTCGATTCATACTACCGAGTGTTTTAGGATCATTTATCGTCCAAGGCACTCAACCCAACCTGGAGTATTTAGGATCATTTACCGTCCAAGGGTACCCGGCCCCACCTGGAGTATTCTGGATCAGTTACCGTCCAAGGGTACCCGACCCCACCTGGAGTATTCTGGATCATTTACCGTCCAAGGGTACTTGACCCCACCTGAAGTATTCTGGATCATTTACCGTCCAAGGGTACTCGACCCCACCTGGAGTATTCTGGATCATGTACCGTCTAAGGGTACCCGACCCCACCTGGAGTATTCTGGATCATCTACCGTCCAAGGGTACTCAATCCCCAGTCTATCCTCTACCAAATCCTAACCTGGATATGGCTAACCTTTCATTCCTTTAACTATGGAGAATGCCTAGCCCTATAGTCATATAACAATCCTTAGGAATCAACGGGGGCGAGTCCCACCTGAACGGCCCACGTTAACCTACTAAAAATTGCCCGTTTTGAGCATAAACCAATACTCGATCGAGTATCTACCCATACTCGATCGAGTACAGGAGACAGTAGCCCACAAAGCTAATTTTCAATGTATACTCGATCGAGTATCTACCCATACTCGATCGGGTATAGGAGGCAGTAGCCCCCTGGGGTAATTCTTCAGCAAATACCCGGTCGGGTATGTGTCAATACCCGGTCGGTATGGCAGTTGACTTGGCGGTCAACGCCCGTTTGACCACCTAAACGGAGTCCGATAAACGTGAAATTTTATACACATATACTTCTTGACGTCCTTGATCCAAAAATACCATTTTGGATCCCTGTAACATCACACATAATAAGTTATCACATTTTTAATCACCAAACCTACATAACATGCTTTTCAACTATGTTTTATGTATAATCAAGGCATAAGCAAACACTTGGTTATCTTTAATCATTCCACAAAACATATCCTTGATTACTTTAGGTAATCTCACGCCTCACGCAAAAGTTATAAAAAGCCGTCTTCTCACCTTAATGAAGCTTATGAAGTTCTAGCCTTCCCGATTTAGCTCCGGTGAAACTCCGGCGAACTTCAACGAACTCCGGCGACAACTCCGGCAACCCTTTCAACTCCGTGAAAGTTACCTGAATACCTTATACAAGTTACTAACAAGGTTTTATCATCATAAAACCCATAGTAATACAAATAACCTCAAAAAGGTTATTTTCCGGCGAACCGGTTACTTTGGCTTCTAAGCCCATTCTTGGACTTAGAACCACCTTCCAACCCCTCATTCTACTTCTCTAAACATGTAGAACAATTCTAGGGGTCCTCCATATAACATATAAGTCATATGGTAGTTAAAGAGTAGATGAATAGTTAAAATGAGGTCATTACCTTAACCACCCTATCTTTTCCTTCCTTCTTCTTCTTTAAATTTCTGACTTTGACCTCCTTGGGCTTAGCTCGGATGTGGATATGGGAGAATGGGGTTTCAGAGCTTCCTTTCTTCCTTTCCTTGGTCTTGGCCGAGTTAGTGGGAGGGGGATGGGTAGGAATACCCTTTTTGGCTCATTTGAGCAATGAATGATGGGAAGGAGGCCCCCCATGTTTTGTATGATTCCAATCAACTCAAATCAACTCCCTCACACCTCACATCCATTTTCCACGCCTCCCAGCTCACTTTGACGAGGTATTCTCGTGGGTTGGCCCCCACTTATGTGGGAGATCAACTCTTTGTGTCCCGGAGTGTACAATCGGTCCCGAAAGTTGTATTTTCCGGACTGTTTTAATTATATTTTATTTTATCGGGTCAAATAAAATATACACTTATTCCCAATCCTCATTGGACCTTAGAATCAATATGCATTCCCCAACTTTAATTTAGAAGTCTCCGAAATCCCTTTTTGGGCTGTTATCAGATAAATTGCCGATACTGATAATTTGGCCCCGTTTGACCAACCGGTCAACCCTATGCCATTGCTATGGCCCAATTAGGATATCCACAACCATATACATATTATCTAGTCCAAGATTAATATAATATGTGGTCCCGATAATACCGGGCGGCCCCACTTCCGGTGTGGGCCACACGTGAATTTTACTATTCACGTAAAAGAAATGATAAAAATTTACAATTTCGTAAAAATGTTTTTATTCATTCCTCAAGGTTCAATACATAATTTGGTACAGTACAAATACTCTGATTTTTCTCCTCTCCATTAACTGCAATGGTCCAGTAGGAGAGAGATAGAGAGAGGTGGGGAAATGGTGGGGTAGGGAAAAAGAAAAGATTATGTTTAATTATTATTTTTAAGGAGAGAGATAGAGTGAAAAAGAAATGGAGAGAGTAAATGGAGAGAAGGAAATGGAGAGGAGTATGACCCCAAATACTCGGGGTCGGTGTTACACTATACCCCATCATCTTCCTCTTCGTGTGGTCTCTGTCGTCGTTCAATGCAAGTGTGCAATTGCTTTGTTAAACATCTCCTTCCCGTAAAAAAAGAGAGAAATTTGATTTATGTTTGAGCAAACATCTAGTTCAGACCAAACCAAATCAGACTTAAATAGACCAGATCAGTTCAGACCAGATCATATCAGATCAACAAATTTTAGTTCAAAAGAAAACACTCACAACATTCTAAAGTATTTTTAATCCTCTCATAAAAAAGTAGTGTTGGGTGTGTTTCGGAAAATAAAGAAAATTAATTAAAATAAATTAATTAAATAAAATGACTAGAGAAAAACAAGAAAGAAGATGAAGCAGAATTAGTCAAAGGTCGTGCTACGCACGATGTCCTTAAAACGTATTTGTTGCCTCCCACAGTGTTAGGAGCGTTGCAACAATCGTTTCCCAGGATACGATGACTACGAACTAATGTTTGAGCACACAAACAAGAGTTCCAGCGAACGGGAACCAAGTATGAATACAGAAGGAATTTGCAGAGTAGCTGTAGGTGTTTTTAGCTCAAGAAAACGTGAGGAATGTATTGTGTGTTATGTCTTGTTGCAAACCACCTGCCAGCTATTTATAAGAGGATTTGTTGTGTGTTAAATGGGGTGTTAATGGACCTGAACGTTGGACATCAATGACCAGTCTGTTGGGCATTGAATCGTCCATAAACTGTCCATTTAACGCAGCATTAAAAGAGAAGAATGTTGGACATTTATTGCTGTAACGGACCAGAAGACCTTCTGTTGCGAACAGAAGGCCTCAAGGGTCTCTGTTGCGAACAGAAGGCCTCGAGGGTTTCTGTTGCGGACAGAACTCGAGCATCTCTGTTCCGGACAGAACTCCACCCCTTCTGTCACTGAGAAAAATAAAACATTACGGGAAGAAACAAAAATTAGAACGTATCTTTGAATGATAGATTTTTCGGACGACATTCGTGTCCGCAGGTCGCCCACGCACACGAATCGCGGTTTTTCTTCTCTGTTTCAGGATTTGATCGGCACCCCCCTGCGCGTAAGAGAGAGTCTTTCCCTTTAAGAATCTTAACTCCTTAAAAGAGGCTTCCCTTTATAAGGGGGTGAAAATCCATTGAGTTTTCCGATGTGGGATAAAACACACTACAAACTCATCATTTTCCTAGTTTTTCCATTTCAACGAGTGAACTTCGAGAATCAATTTCTCATTCACCCGTTATCCGTTTTGAGCGTACCATATATTGAATTGTAGCCCTTAACAAGGACAATCCGAAACCACTTTGACCAGACCCAAATCGGAAGTGGACCCCACTCAAATAATTACCCCAAAATGACCATTTAATGCAATTTTTAACACATTTTTCCAACAAGTAGTTCCAATTATCAAAATCAATAATGATAATTGTGTTGTAGATGTATCATATAATTTGGCATTTTCGTTATTAAAAAATAGACACGTGCATCACATTGTTCTTTTCCTTTTATGGTATTTAAAATAAAATTATTGTAGATTAAAAATTCTTAAAATTAAAAAAATACAAATATTCTGAAAAACACATCCTAAATCGCGTCTTTCAGGGTCATCCCGGTTTCCTCTCTGGTTTTGTACAAGATTTTCCTGATATGATCAAGGTTTTTAGCGATTTGAATTTCATTGACATGTTAGGTTTAACCTCATAAACCATATATAGAATATTTATCACTAACTCGAAAAACTAGTTCGGTTAGTGACAAACCCGATATTGACTAACCGAACCGGTTTTGGTCCAGGCCACCGACAAAGCATTTTCAAATTCAAATAACAAGTCGGAGAGCTATTCAATAATGTGTGGAGGTGTTTCAAATCATGACTAAGGCCAAGGAAAATTCCAGATCACCGGCTTCCTTTAGACTTCCAAATCGATTCATTCTATAATGGTGTGAACTCAGTTTGTAGAGGTCGCCATAAATAACCGATCGGATGCTACATTAGGAACAAGAATGAATCATTACATTTTCAATTATCATTTTGATTTATAAAATGTTTATAGTAAGACGCACCACACTTGAATGTAGCATAATATTCTCTCTACATTTTGTATCTTTAAATTAGAACATTACATTTTTTCTATCTTACAATTCATTTTGGTGCGTCTCTTACTTAATTAGTGTGCAGTTTTTTTTTTGTTTTATTGTCATTTTCTGATGTTTTATTTTGAAATCTGTAACTTGTTATCAAATTATTGTTATTGTGGAGTTATTAATTTTTTCATTAAGAAAACAAATATTTACTTTGTCTGCTCCAAACGAATTTCAATTTGCTCTTTAATTATCGTATTGTCTTTATATATATAAAGCTATTTATTAATTTCTCTTTTTAGCATTTGTTTTCAAGTAATTTGTTTAATCTTTTGTTCAAAGTGGAGGTGCTATCTATACATTAAACAATGGAAAAAGTATGAGTCATGTGTTATTTATACACAAATGTTACATCACATATATGTGACGTCAACACCACGACTCATACTTTCACCGTTATTCAATAGTTGAAACACTTAGACTTTTACACTACTTATATATTTTACTTTGACTTTTTCACTATTTACATAATCTACCTTGACCATTACTCGATCCGCTATTACCTGTCGTAAACAACGGTGTAGTAGTGTCTTGGCAAATATTAAGAGCCCGTTTGGGGACACTATTTTTCGACTTATCAGTCGTAGCAGTCAAGTTTTGCACCGAACAAGTAATTTTTGATTCCGCGCACTAAACTATGTAACAATCAAATTAATGTTGAAGTTATTTTTCTGGTTGAATTGATTGAAGTTACGCTAGATTAACATTATTTTAACTATTTTTCATATATTTTTTTTGTTTTATTGATAAAATATATTTAAAACATAAATTTTTCATATTCAACAGAATTAGCCACTTCAATAAGAACTTTGTCAATTTCAGCATAATCAACCGACTAAATCAATTTCATTGTTTCAAAACGGGCTCTAATTGAAAGTGTTTGTAACTGCATAAGCTAGAGGCCATATTAATTATATCACATATGAAAATTTAGAATATTAACCAAACCCTCATAAATGCTTAAACTGTTTAAAATGTGTACTTAACATCATACATATATAAGTTTGTAAAAAATGCATATGATCATAGTGCATTAGTGCATACAATTATGTTTGTGAAAATTTGTGGAGCTTATAACAAAGTCTATTCATGCGGTGTTTTAAAATAGCGTTTATTAGGATGCCACAAAATAATCTAGTGATGTAATTATCTAAAAAGTGTCATGTTCATTCACTTAAATAAATATAACGTGTCGTATTTTTTGCCTTATTACTGACCCCACATATTTAATTTTTTAAATAGCAAAGTGCATCTCTTAAGAGGAATGATCTTCACTAGTGGAAAAATGTCAATTAGAAGCGCTTTTTTCGGTCGCGTGCGGCGCTTTAAAGCGCCTCTAAAAAATGTGCCGCAAATCATTATTAGAGGCGCTTTTTAATTCAGAAGCGCCTCTGATTTTATTTTTTTCCCGGAAAGCTTGCGGTGCTTATTAAATGAGAAGCGCCTCCAAAATTTTTCATGCGTGCGGCGCTTTTAGGTCAGAAGCGCCTCAAATTTTGTTTTGTTTTCATTTCTGTTTGTGGCACTTATAGCACAAAAGCGCCTCTAATTTATTTTTTTGAAAAATTTATTTATTTCAGTAGATTTAGAAGTTATTGAAACGACTGCATCAATCCGAATATTCATTCAATCAAATTTAAATGTAACAAAATAGAGATAATCTAGAAATTGTAATAAATAAAAGCAAATTTTTTATTTTCATGTTAACTCACAATAGAATTATCACATATACATTACATATAAAAATAATCTAGACTAGATATTCTAAATATATCATTGAATTCTTCCAATGCAAATGATTCTATCCTTGGACTCTAAACCTGAATGTCTGTACCACAAATAAAAATGAACTCAAAATTATAATGAGTTGTTTATGGTTGAAAACACAACTTCTTAAAACCTGTGATGCCATGGTGAATTGCCTATGCCATGTTTGAAAACATAGAAAACAGAATGAAAATGTATATATATAAATAAGTGTGATGCTACACCAGCACAAACACAGCAAACCAAACCTCCTCACCTGCAGCAA